TGCATTTGGAATCTGTTGCTGTCAGCTCTCAAGATGAGATCCAAAGAGCTGTCACTATCAGTGAAGCAAGCCATCATTAGGCTGAAAAAACAAAACAAACCCATCAGAGAGATAGCAAAAACATTAGGCATGGCCAAAACAACTGTTTGGAACATTCTTAAAAAGAAGGAACGCACCGGTGAGCTCAGCAACACCAAAAGACCCGGAAGACCACGGAAAACAACTGTGGTGGATAACCGAAGAATTCTTTCCCTGGTGAAGAAAACACCCTTCACAACAGTTGGCCAGATCAAGAACACTCTCCAGGAGGTAGGTGTATGTGTGTCAAAGTCAACAATCAAGAGAAGACTTCACCAGAGTGAATACAGAGGGTTCACCACAAGATGGAAACCATTGGTGAGCCTCAAAAACAGGAAGGCCAGATTAGAGTTTGCCAAACGACATCTAAAAAAGCCTTCACAGTTCTGGAACAACATCCTATGGACAGATGAGACCAAGATCAACTTGTACCCGAGTAATGGGAAGAGAAGAGTATGGAGAAGGAAAGGAGCTGCTCATGATCCTAAGCATACCACCTCATCAGTGAAGCATGGTGGTGGTAGTGTCATGGCGTGGGCATGTATGGCTGCCAATGGAACTGGTTCTCTTGTATTTATTGATCATGTGACTGCTGACAAAAGCAGCAGGATGAATTCTGAAGTGTTTCGGGAATATTATCTGCTCATATTCAGCCAAATGCTTCACAACTCATTGGACGCCGCTTCACAGTGCAGATGGACAATGACCCAAAGCAGACTGCAAAAGCAACCAAAGAGTTTTTTAAGGGAAAGAAGTGGAATGTTATGCAACGGCCAAGTCAATCACCTGACCTGAATCCGATTGAGCATGCATTTCACTTGCTGAAGACAAAACTGAAGGGAAAATGCCCCAAGAACAAGCAGGAACCGAAGACAGTTGCAGTAGAGGCCTGGCAGAGCATCACCAGGGATGAAACCCAGCGTCTGGTGATGTCTATGCGTTCCAGACTTCAGGCTGTAATTGACTGCAAAGGATTTGCAACCAAGTATTAAAAAGTGAAAGTTTGATTTTTGATTATTATTCTGTCCCATTACTTTTGGTCCTTTAACAAGTGGGAGGCACATATGCAAACTGTTGTAATTCCTACACCGTTCACCTGATTTGGATGTAAATACCCTCAAATTAAAGCTGACAGTCTGCAGTTAAAGCACATCTTGTTCGTTTCATTTCAAATCTATTGTGGTGGTGTATAGAGCCAAAAATGTTAGAATTGCATCAATGTCCCAATATTTATGGACCTGACTGTATATAAGTGATTTTGCATTCCCGGGTATGGATTACGTGCAAGCTGCATGCGCACCCTACCCATGCCACCATTTGGTGGCCTTGACTGTCAATCACCGGGTTCTGGTCGGTGATTACTTGCCAGCACCCGGTAATCACCAATTATTACCAATGGGGGAGAGAACTGTATGTAAACAATACAGCTCTCTCCCGTCAGCTCCTGCACACTGCTTTGTATGGCTCTGTATAGCACAGCCATGGAAAGCACACACACAGCCCCCATGGAAAGCATTAACACAGTTAACCCTTTGATCGCCTCAGTTGTTAACCCCTTTCTGCCCAGTGCCATTAGTACAGTGTCAGTGCTTTTTATTAGCACTGATCACTGTACTGGTGTCACTTATGATGTCAGGGATACAAAGTCAGTTCTCTCCAGTGTCAGAATGTCTGCCGCAGTCCTACAGTCCCACTATAAGTCGCTGATCACTGCCATTACTAGTATATATTAAAAAACAAATTCCAAATATATATACTGCCATTTGTAAATGCTATAACTTTCATGTAACCAATTAATTTACACATATTGGGATTTTTCTTTAACAAAAACATGGAGCAGAATACATTTTGGCCTAAATTTATGATGAAATGTGTTTTTTTTTTTTTTTTTTTACCTGGACATGTTTAATAGCAAAAAGTGAAAAATATATTTTTGTTCTCAAAATTGTCAGTCTTTTTTTGTTTTTGTTTTTGCACAACAAATTTAAAAACGCACAGGTGATAAATTCCACCGAAAGAAAGCTCTATTTGGGGGGGGGGGGGGGAAGGACGTAAATTTAATTTGGATGTAGTGTTGCATGACCGCGCAATTGTCAGTTAAAGTAAAGCAGCGGTGTAACGCATAAAATGTACTGGTCAGGAAGGGGGGTAAATCCTCTGGAGGGCAAGTGGTTACAGGTGGGCATGTGTCCATACTATGGCAAGGATGTCACCCGGCTCACACGCCTTTGTTCACGTGTGCTGTGAGGCTGGGACACATGCCAATATTTAGTCAATGTCACTGACTAAATATGGACATGCGTTCATATAAGGGCAGTGACATCACCAGCATCCCACCTCTTTGTTTACGTGTGCTGTGGGGGTGGCGAATGACCCAACCACCAGCTGATTGGCCTGCAAAAGAGCGTGACTCTGAAGTAAGGATAGAGAGGAGTTTAGAGAACGACCCAACTCATGTCTAACTAGGAACAGTGTGAAATTCGCTCAGTGTATGGTCACTGTTAGTTCAAACTTCGATCTGACTCTCCAGTCAGCGTTTTTGTATTAGCATTTAACCTCCTCGGCGGTCTGATTATTTCCGATTTTTTGTGCTCTAAGCAGTACCATTTTTTTGCATGGAAATATGTAGTTTTTTATTGTTGGCCTGTAATTTTTAGGAATAACTCACTGAAATCTGTCCGAACAAGAGTCTAGTAAACATCCCGGGTAGGATAAAACTTGAAACACAAAATCATAAATTATAATTTAATAATCATAAAAAATAATAATATAATAATAATACATTTAATTCAATAATATAATCAAACCAAAAACACTGAAATTTGAAATACAGAGGCAAATTCGCACATCACTGAGCAAAGTCGCAAAATCGTTTTCAGTGTCTGATGACGAATTTCCCCCACGAATCATTATCACTCAATTCAAAAAGTAGTTCTGATTTACTATCGCTGTTCTCTAGCCGGTCTAAAACTGATTTTGACTTAAAGGGACGCTTTTTGGACGCCATGGACTTTTCTAAGTTTCCAGGCAGAAAGAACAGTCAAAATGCAGGCAGGGCACAGGACAAAGCACTCGGGACAAAATGTATGTGAAATGCATTGAAACAGCAATGTTTTACTATGTAATAGTCATTTAAAAAAAAAATTACATTTTTTAAAAACTTCAAATTTGCCGCCGACGTCCCGACGTCACAGCGACCAGAACACGGAAGCCGGATGCCGGCATCTGCCAGAGGAGATGGCTGGGGACGCTGCACGGGACACATCGTGGGAGCGAAGGACAAGGTAAATGCTGCAGGGACTCCCTGAGCAACGCCGCATGGTAAGCCCGAGTGTAGCTCGGGGTTACCGCTCTTGGTACTCAAATTTTACCCCGAGCTACACTCGGGAATACCGCTAGGGGTGTTAAGCGTTTTTTAGAGTTTCTTTTTCATCCAAAAAAATTGGATGGGGTCAAAAAAATGTCCAAAAACGCTACTTTGCCGCGATTTACTGCGTTTTTTTTTTTTTTTTTTTCCGCGTTAGAGCATTTTTACAGATAAAAAACTCCTCTAGAAATCCACTAGTCCCTGGGTTTTTTTTTCCAGCCAAAAAATGTTGATTCCAGTCTGTGTGTATGGGCGCATAGGAGAACATGCTGGGGGGTTTACTGGCTGTAGAAAAAAACATCAAAAGCCAAAAACAGCCGCTGTAAAAACGTCCCGTGTGCATGAGGACTTACTGGATACAAAATAAAAAGTGACAAGATCTTTGTATCTCTTCTCTAGATTTCCTTATAAACAAACAATGATTTATTCGTTTCTAGTTTGAACACACGAAGGATAAACAGACCGGTGACATTTGTTTAACGTTTGGTGTTATTATTTACAAAACGTTTTTGAATTTGGTGGTTTGGACGACCTTCCATTTCCTCCTCTAGTCTAGGTTCATAATGATGCGGTGTGGGATTTGCAGGGATTCTGGACGTTTCCCGGCACGGCATTACAAACACATTGCGTTCACGTGATCTTCTGTGGGTGTCAATGTTAACAACACCCCAAAAACAGGTCGCAAAGTGCAGTGCAATCGCCTGAATCGGATTGCACCCATGCGACCCAATTCTAGAGCAACACAAAAAAAAAAAAAAAAAGGCGCATGCATGTGTTTTGTGCGGATGCAGTGCGATTTGTGTCATACAAAATGTATGGGTGTTAATTGCAATGCACGGTTTGCATGTGATGTGAACGGGAATGCAGTGCGATTCCTATGTGATTCACTCGTGATGTGACAGTGTGAACCAGGGCCTAATACAAGTAAACTTCCACCAAGATGGCACCAATGAGGGCAGCCATGGAATCTTTAAAGTGTTACTAAACCCACAACAGTAAAATCAGTCTGTAGATGCAGTAAAGAATTCTCGTTATATACTCACTGTGGAACCTAAGGGGTTAATCCTCTGCATTGTGTAAAATGGATGTTTGATCCTGACATCTCTGATCATCCCCTTCTTCTACTGTCCCCAATCCATCAGCTGACAGTACAGAGCCTCGGGGGGCAAGCTGCACTTGCTCAGTTTGGTGTGTATTGCTAGAGAGGTTTGCTTTTTTTTTTCTTGGGAGAGTGCATGTGACCAGCACAGGGCCAATCAGCACTGTCCAGATAGAGGTCAGGCTCCTGCATCCTTCTAGAGAAGAAAGAAAAACTCCTCCTACAAGCTTTAACTAGTGCTCTGCTGGACACTGATAGAAGTCACAAGACTGTTGATGAGAAAAGGTATTTAGCAGTTTATATTTACTTACATAATTGCATTTCCATGTTGTGTGTACTGTGGGAGAGCAGTTATAGTGAAAGCAGGGTCCGGGGAGAGCAGATATAGTGAATGCAGAGTCCTGGGAGACCAGATACAGTGAATGCAGGGTACGGGGAGACCAGATACAGTGAATGCAGGGTCCGGGGGAGACTAGATATAGTGAATGCAGGGTCCGGGGAGACCAGATATAGTGAATGCAGAGTCCTGGGAGACCAGATACAGTGAATGCAGGGTACGGGGAGACCAGATATAGTGAATGCAGGGTCCGGGGAGACCAGATATAGTGAATGCAGGGTCCGGGGAGACCAGATATAGTGAATGCAGGGTCTGGGGAGACCAGATATAGTGAATGCAGGGTCCTGGAAGACCAGATATAGTAAATGCAGGGTCCTGGGTTTAGGAACACTTTAAAGCTCACCTCCAGGCCAACAGATTCCTCCATCCACACCATACAGCGCAGAAGGACAAATCGCCCACTGGGGTCATTGTATATGGACAACTGATCCTGACATCTGTCAAAAAGCCAAAACAGAGCCTGCATGTGATTTGGATGCAGCCACTGTTCCACCAAACATTATCCAGCCGGCTATTTTGGCAAATATTAGTGAGTTTTGTCTGGTCCCTCAGGAATTGGTTGGACTTTGCACAGTGTATGGCCGCACCATCACTCTAATGTCCTGTGAGCTGTAGATACGGTAAGTACCGGAGGGTCCACGAGACCAGAAAGATATTTCTAGGGCTCCTCCATAATAAAAGGTTGAGAAAGGCTGTTCTAGAGGAATGTTCATGAATATAAAGTGACCAGTCAGGAAATACGTAGATCCAGCAGCACATACAAGTTTTTCTGGATCCCATACACTGTACAACATTCTTCACATTGAGTACATTGTGGAATGCAGATTGTTCCATGTGACAGACCAGAGTTGGTTCTAGATGTAATGTATAGAATATAGAGACACATTTACATATCTTTGACATACTATATATATATATATACACAATGTACATGAGTATTTCAGTGCAGTCTGCCTTAGGTCATCCACGTTTTTAGAAACAAGCCCACCGACATTAAGAAGGGTCAGCACTGTCAATCACACTTCAGTCCTCGGTCTGGACACAACCACAACGGGAATCAGTCCTATAATCAGAACACTAGATCACATACACGTCTATATTCCATGGAGATGCCTCCCAGTATCCTCTGGAGATGGGCTCCCTGAGCTGGTTACAATCTGATTGTACAATCTCCTATAGTCAGCTTTAGACTTACCAAAAGGTTGAGGTATGAAGACCTGCAGAACACCATACACTATACAATATGTCTGTATATGCTCCTTTAGGCTAGATTCACACCTATGCAGTTTGCGTTTGATCTGTTTCTGCAGTTCGTTTTGCAGTGCGTTTTTGCCACGTTTTTTTTATGTGTTTTTTTCTTGTTGCTGGGCAGAGTCAAACGCAAAACGCATCAACAACGCACTACATGCTTTTCTGCAGCATCTCCATTGAAGTCTATAGAACCAAAAACACAACGTTTGCGTTTAAAAAGGTCCCGGACGCTTTCCTAAAACGCAGAGATGTGAACGCGTCCCATAGGAAATGATGTTAAATGGACTGCTGTGCGTTTCTGCAAAACGTTGTGGAAATTGCTTAGGTGTGAACCTAGACTTGGATCTACCTACAACTAGGTGGTGTCGGTGTCTGCATGACTAGATACTAACTGATTGGATAGATTAGGTAAGATGGCAATACCCTATACAATCTGATTGTACAATCTCCCAAACTATGGAATACGAGGACAAACAATCAGACAGGCCTGTATACTACACAGTGTACGGTATGAGATTGTATGGTGTATGGTGATCTGCAGGTCCTCATATTACAGTGTCTAAAGCCCTCTAAGCAATCTGATGGAAGATCTAAAGGAGATTGCAGTACATGGGCCTCGCTGTTAGATTAGACAGGTCTTCATTTTGGTCAATACACTATACAACCTTGATTGTACAATCTTCTTTAGATCGATCAAAATATGTAACAGAAGAACACACCTAGACAATCTATTCCTTTTGTATCCAATCAGGCAAGCCCTGGTAGTACACAGATGATGACAGATCTAAAGAGGATTGTACAATCAGATTGTATAGTGTATGGTGGACAGTCAGAATGTACAGTGTATGGTGACCCTTACAATAGGACCAATTACAACCAACCAATCTGCGATCTCCTATGATTGCTGTGGCAGTCGTAGGTGTCAGGAAGCTGCCATGTGATTGGCTGTGTGGGCTGCCCTGTACAATGAAGGGGATGCCCCTGGCAGCGATGACAGGTGCCTCCGTCCAGCCGGCTCTCCTCTGGGATCTGTCATTGGCAATGCAGGGGAAGCAAACAATAGTAGAGGAGGCAGCATGAGGCTCTTACCAGGCAGAGCAGTCTGTGTGCCATGGGTGTCAGTGGTGTCGGTGGTGTCGGGCGCCCCCCATCTCTCCCCGCTTGGCTCTGTTCTCCGGAGACGGACAGCTAACACATCGACCTCATCCCCGCTCCGCTCTGTCGCCGGAGACTGCCCATGCAACCCCGCCTGGCAACGCGCATGCGCAGCCCTCCTCCTCCTCCTGCCTTCCTCCCTCCCTGTGCCGGACCATTCTTCCCAGCCTGCAGATGTAGTGCCAGCATGGACTGGAGGGGTGCTGGAGGAATGACCTCCAACTTCTCATCACCCCATCAGTCAGGCACACACAGGGGCAGACAAGCGGCTGGACTCACCAAATGGGATGCTTGTCAACGAGGTGCATCCGAGCGCGTGTGCTTTTACCGCGTGTTTCTGCGTAAAAAAACACTAAAGCTAAACCAAAACGCGTGTGAAACATCCAAAAACATTCTGGTGCTTTTCAACTTTTATCAGCGTTAGAGCATAGGCTGTTCTAAAATGCGGAAACGCGGTAAGCGTAAAAAAAAAAAAGCTGAAAAGCACCAATAAAAGTTGAAAAACACAGATAAAAGCTGAAAATCACGAAAAAAAACCGCAGCTATTTGGCATTTATGAGCATTTTTGAGCCTGAAGATTTTGTGAGACTACAACTGCTAAAAACAGCAAAACACTAAAAAAAACACTAAAGCGAAAGCAAAACCGCACAAAAAAAAGCATGTTTTAGCAGCATGGGCTGGAGTGGTGCTGGAGGAATGACATCCAACTGCTCATCACCCCATCAGTCAGGCACACACAGGGGCAGACACAGTGGCTGGACTCACCAAATGGGATGAATTTCAACGCTTGTCAACGAGGTGCGTCCAAGCGCGTGTGCTTTTACCGCGTGTTTCCGCGTATCGCGTTTTAGGAAATCTATGCTCTAACGCTGAAAAACGCAGATAAATGCTGAAAAATGCCAACAAAAGCGGCTATCCGGCATCCGGTTTTGAGCCTGAAGATTTTGTGGGAGTATAACTTTGGAAAAAGACGCAAACACTAAAAAAAAAACACTAAAGCTAATCCAAAGTGCGTGTGAAACATCCAAAAATATGTTGGCGCTTTTCAGCTTTTATTAGCAATAGGGCATAGGCTGTTCTAAAACGCGCAGAAAACACACGGTAAGCATAAAAAAAATAAATAAAAGCTGAAAAGCACCAATAAAAGTTGAAAAACACAGATAAAAGCTGAAAATCACTAAAAAATGCAGCTATCCAGCATTTATGAGCGTTTTTGAGCCTGAAGATTTTGTGGGAGTATAACTGCTAAAAACAGCAAAACACTAAAAAAAAAAACACTAAAGCTAATGCAAAACCGCACAAAAAACACACGTTTTGGCAGCATGGACTGGAGGGGTGCTGGAGGAATGACATCAACTGCTCATCACCCCATCAGTCAGGCACACATAGGGGCAGACAGCCGGCTGGACTCACCAAAAGGGATGAATTTCACCGCTCGTCCAGGAGGTGCATCTGAGCACATGTGCTGTTACCGCGTGTTTCCGTGTATTGCGTTTTAGGACAGCCTATGCTCTAATGCTAATAAAAGCTGAAAAGCACCAATAAAAGTTGAAAACCGCAGATAAAAGCGTTTATTATCACGTTTTAGGACAGCCTATGCTCACTGATAAAAGATGAAAAGTGCTGATAAAAGATGAAAACGTTAAAAAATGCAGCTATCCGGCATCCGTTTTTGAGCCTGAAGATTTTGTGAGCATAACTGCTAAAAAACTCAAAACACTAAAAAAAAAAAACCTTAAAAACGCTAAAGCTAATGCAAAACTGCAAAAAAACTTATGTGTTTATTGCAGCATTCTACAGCTAATGCTACTGACATTTTTATAACGTCCAGCATCCATGAGGCCTTATTACTTCAACGCATGTGAAACGTCCCAAAAAAATGTTACCACGTGTTTCGTGTATTGTGTTTTAGTACAGCCTATGGTCTAACACTGATAAAAGCTGAAAAGCGCCAATTAAAGTTGAAAAACGCAGCTAAAAGCTGAAAATCGCTAAAAGACGCGGCTATCCGGCACTTATGAGAGTTTTTAAGCCTGAAGATTTTGTGGGAGTATAACTTTGCTAAAAACCACAAAACACTAAAAAAAACTGCTAAAGCTAATGCAAAACCTCAAAAAAACTCACGTTTTGCCAGCATGAGCTGGAGGGGTGCTGGAGGAATGACATCCAACTTCTCATCACCCCATCAGTCAGGCACACAAAGGGGCAGACAACTGGCTGGACTCACCAAAAGGGATGAATTTCACTGCTCGTCCAGGAGGTGCGTCCGAGCGCGCGTGCTTTTACCGCATGTTTCCACATACCGCGTTTTAGGACAGCCTATGCTCTAACACTGATAAAATCTGAAAAGCGCTGATAAAAGTTGAAAAGCGCAGATGAAAGCTGAAAGTCACTAAAAAAATGCGGCTATCCGGCATTTATGAGTGTTTTTTGTGTCTGAAGATTTTGTGGGAGTATAACTTGCTAAAAAACGCAAAACACTAAAAAAACCACTAAAGCTAATGCAAAACCGCAAAAAACTCACGTTTTGCCAGTATGGGCTGGAGGGGTGCTGGAGGAATGACCTCCAACTGCTCATCACCCCATCAGTCAGGCACAGACAGGGGCAGACAGCTGGCTGGACTCACCAAAAGGGATGCATTTGATCCAGGAGGTACGTCCCAGCGTGTGTGCTTTTACCGCGTGTTTCCGGTCATCGCGTTTCAGGAGAGCCAATGCTCTAATGCTGATAAAAGCTTAAAAGCACCAATAAAAGCTGAAAAACGCTAAAAAATGCAGGTATCTGGCATCCATTTTTCAGCCTGAAGATTTGTGGGAGTATAACTTTGCTAAAAACTGCAAAACACCAAAAAAAAACTGAAAAAAACACCAAAAAAAGCTAAAGCTAATGCAAAACCGCAAAAAAACTCCCGTCTTGCCAGCATGGACTGGAGGGGTGCTGCAGCAATGACATCCAACTTCTCATCACCCCATCAGTCAGGCACATACAGGGGCAGACAACTGGCTGGACTCACCAAAAGGGATGAGTTTCACCGCTCGTCCAGGATCTGCGTCCGAGCCCGTGTGCTTTTATGCGTTTTTTTCCGCGCATCGCGTTTCAGGACAGCCTATGCTCTAATGCTGATAAAAGCGCCAATAAAAGCGGAAAAACACACAAAAAAATGTGGCTATCCAGCATCCGTTTTGAAGATTTTGTCGGAGTATAACTTTGCTAAAAAAAAAACACAAAACACTAAAAAAAACACTAAAAAAACACTAAAGCAAATGCAAAACCGCCAAAAAAATACGTTTTTATTGCAGTATTCTATAGCTAACTCTACTGGCATTTTTATAACGTCCAGCGTGCATGAGGCCTTATTATTTCAACGAGTGTGAAATGTCCAAAAAAAATTTGCCATCGCAATTTTTAAAATTGTGCAGCACCAAAGCACACGGTGCTACGGTACTATGTATTTTGATGGGTGCCCATCCATGCAAGTTTGTTAGATTTGTGGGGGGGGGGGGGTGCCGTTAAGAATCAGGAGCATCTGCAAAAGGCTGTGCGTTTTTGTGTGCTGTGGGAAAACGCACAATTTTGCACACACACCACAGCTGGTGTGAACAAGTGGATGCAAAGCAGGAGGGCTGGGCTGTGGACAAGAGGGGGGCATTTGCTCCCCCAAACAGTACAAATATTATATGATTTAAGCTGGACATACATGTATAGATTTTCTTTCCAGAATCTTCATTTGAAGAATAATGGTTTGATTTTCTAATCGTTAGTGGGGTCAATTCAATGTTCGTTTTCAATGGCAGTGACGGGAAAATTCAAAGGGGCAGGAAGGAAAACGTTTCTCAATCAAATTTTCAGCCATTGAATGTGGTTATCATTCAGAAATTATATTCATTTTAAAATCAAGTGTTAACCTCTTGCCCTCCAGAGGATTTACCCCCCTTCATGACCAGGTTGTTTTTTGCGATACTGCATTGCTTTTTTTTTTTCAAGAGAATGCTGCTTTACTTTAACTGACAATTGTGCAGTCATGCAACACTGGACCTAAATTAAATTATTATCCTTTTTCCCACAAATAGAGCTTTCTTTCGATGGCATTTGATTGCCTATGCGGTTTTTAATTTTGTGCACTATAAACAAAAAAAGACCGACAATTTTGAGAAAAAAAACAATATTTTTGACTTTTTGCTATTAACCACTAGCCTACAGGGCACTTATACCTCCATCCTGCCCAGGCCAATTTTCAGCTTTCAGCACTGTTGCACTTTTAATGACAATTGCGCGGTTATGCAACACTGCACCCATATGAAATTTTTATCATTTTTTTGAGACAGATAGAGCTTTCTTTTGGTGGTATTTATTCACCTCTGAATTTTTTATTTTTTGCTAAACAAACCAAAAACAAATGAAAATTTTGAAAAAAAAAAATGTTTTTTCTTAGTTTTTTTGTTATAAAATGTTGTAAATACAGTCAGGTCCATAAATATTGGGACATGGACACAATTCTAACATTTTTGGCTCTATATACCACCACAATGGTTTTGAAATGAAACAAACAAGATGTGCTTTAACTGCAGACTGTCAGCTTTAATTTGAGGGTATTTACATCCAAATCAGGTGAACGGTGTAGGAATTACAACAATTTGCATATGTGCCTCCCACTTGTTAAGGGACCAAAAGTAATGGGACAGAATAATAATCATAAATCAAACTTTCACTTTTTAATAATTGGTTGAAAATCCTTTGCAGTCAATTACAGCCTGAAGTCTGGAACGCATAGACATCACCAGACGCTGGGTTTCATCCCTGGTGATGCTCTGCCAGGCCTCTACTGCAACTGTCTTCAGTTCCTGCTTGTTCTTGGGGCATTTTCCCTTCAGTTTTGTCTTCAGCAAGTGAAATGCATGCTCAATCGGATTCAGGTCAGGTGATTGACTTGGCCATTGCATAACATTCCACTTCTTTCCCTTAAAAAACTCTTTGGTTGCTTTTGCAGTCTGCTTTGGGTCATTGTCCATCTGCACTGTGAAGCGGTGTCCAATGAGTTCAGAAGCATTTGGCTGAATATGAGCAGATAATATTCCCGAAACACTTCAGAATTCATCCTGCTGCTTTTGTCAGCAGTCACATCATCAATAAATACAAGAGAACCAGTTCCATTGGCAGCCATACATGCCCACGCCATGACACTACCACCACCATGCTTCACTGATGAGGTGGTATGCTTAGGATCATGAGCAGTTCCTTTCCTTCTCCATACTCTTCTCTTCCCATCACTCTGGTACAAGTTGATCTTGGTCTCATCTGTCCATAGGATGTTGTTCCAGAACTGTGAAGGCTTTTTTAGATGTCGTTTGGCAAACTCTAATCTGGCCTTCCTGTTTGTGAGGCTCACCAATGGTTTACATCTTGTGGTGAACCCTCTGTATTCACTCTGGTGAAGTCTTCTCTTGATTGTTGACTTTGACACACATACACCTACCTCCTGGAGAGTGTTCTTGATCTCGCCAACTGTTGTGAAGGGTGTTTTTCTTCACCAGGGAAAGAATTCTTCGGTCATCCACCACAGTTGTTTTCCGTTGTCGTCCGGGTCTTTTGGTGTTGCTGAGCTCACCGGTGCGTTTCTTCTTTTTAAGAATGTTCCAAACAGTTGTTTTGGCCACGCCTAATGTTTTTGCTATCTCTCTGATGGGTTTGTTTTGTTTTTTCAGCCTAATGATGGTTTGCTTCACTGATAGTGACAGCATTTTGGATCTCATCTTGAGAGTTGATAGCAACAGATTCCAAATGCAAATAGCACACTTGAAATAAACTCTGGACCTTTTATCTGCTCATTGTAATTGGGATAATGAGGGAATAACACACACCTGGCCATTGAACAGCTGAGAAGCCAAGTGTCCCATTACTTTTGGTCCCTTAACAAGTGGGAGGCACATATGCAAACTGTTGTAATTCCTACACCGTTCACCTGATTTGGATGTAAATACCCTCAAATTAAAGCTGACAGTCTGCAGTTAAAGCACATCTTGTTCGTTTCATTTCAAATCCATTGTGGTGGTGTATAGAGCCAAAAATGTTAGAATTGTGTCGGTGTCCCAATATTTATGGACCTGACTGTAAGTGATTTTTCTCCTTCACTGATGTGCGCTAATGAGGCTGCAGTGATGGGGCACTGATAGGCTGCACTGATGGGCACTGATAGGTGGCACTGATGGGCACTGATGAGGAGGCACTTGTAGGTGGCACTGATGAGCATTGACAGGCGTCACTGATGGGCACTGAAAGGCAGCACTCATATATGGCACTGATAGGCAGCACGGATAGGTGGCACTGATAGGCGGCACTGACTGGCACTGTTAGGCGGCACTGATGCGCACTCATAGGCGGCACTGACTGGCACTGATTGGCAGCACTGATAGGTGACACTGAAAGGCAGCTCAGATGGGCACTGATATGTGGCATTGATGCGGCACTGATGGGCACTGGCAGGTGGCATTGATGGGCACTGACATCTGGCACTGCTGGGCTACACTGATCATCAGGGCACACTGATCATCAGTGCCCTGATGATCAGTGTACATGTCCCCTCCGAGGAATGCCAATTACTGGCTCTCCTCTCCTCTTGAGCTGTCAGCGTGAGGAGAGGAATGCCGATAACCGGCGTTTTCGCTATTTACATGTGATCAGCTGTGATTGGACACAGCTGATCACATGACTGAGCTGACATCTTCGGCTCTTTTCCGTTGATCAGTGATCCGCTGTGTCCGAGGAACACAGTGCACCACCGATCGCCGCGCTGCACGCTCCTGGAGCCGCACATGCGAGGTTATGACATCCTCCCAGAACGAGAGAACCGCCTTGTGCCTGTCATTACATTATATGATGGGCGGGAGGCGGTTAAACATGTCCAGTAAAAAAATTTAAAAAATCAAATTTCATCATAAATTTAGGCCAAAATGTATTCTGCAACATGTCTTTGCTAAACAAAATCCCAATACATGTAAATTAATTGGTTTACATGAAAGTTATAGCGTCTACAAATGGCGGTATATATACTGGAATTTTTATTTTTTTTTATACTAGTAATGGCAGCGATCAGCAACATATAGCGGTACTGCGGTGGGCATTCTGACACTGGGGGGGGGGGACTGGCTAACTGCCACTGACATCCCCAGTGACACTAATACAGTGATCAGTGTTAATAAAAAGCACTGACACAGTACTAATGACACTGGGCAGGAAGGGGTTAACATCTGGGGCGATCAAAGGGTTAACTGTGTGCTGTTTTACATCATGTGCTGTGTGTGTTTGACTAGGGAAACACGCTGCTGTGTACAGAGGAATACACAGCAGCATGTTCTTGCTGGCAGGAGAGAGATCTGTGTTGTTTACATACAGGTCTCTCCCCTGTGAGTGGTACTCGGTGATCGCCGGTGGGGAATCTCCGGCCGGGACCCGGTGATTGAAATCTGTAGCTGCCAATGGCGGTGCGGGTAGGGTGGCGCACGCGCCCCCTACCTGGAAATGCAAATCACATATATACTGTATATGTGATTTTGTGCAGCTCTGCCGCCCTGTAGCAGTACTTCTTTCTGCTTTAGAGTGGAGGGGAAGTGGTTAAAAGCAAAATACAGTTTTTGAATGACATTCATCCATTCATCAAATGCGCAACAAAAAAATTTCATATGACTTTTCTTACGAATATTCTCATCCAAAAATCTACACGTGTATGTCCAGCTTTTGTGACTGGTGGTGAGCTAAGGTCCCGGCCAAATCCACAGGAAACTGTCACATGACCGACCCCATCAGCTGTGGCCCTGGAATTCCCTTTTGCACAGCAGCATGTAACAAAGAAGCTGGGATGCTGGCAGATGTCGTTATCAGTGGTGAGCTCAGGCATGTTCAGACACATGTCCAAATCTTCCTGCTAGGAAGCTGTCACTGTGTACAGCCAATCATTAGCAGTGGAGGCTTTCCCTGCCCTGTAAATGCCATGTAAATGTACAGCTACAGGGTGGGGAGAGCCTCTGTCGCCTTCGATTGGCTGCTCCCCATGACAGTTTCCTGGCAGGATAGCTCAGGCGGGTTCAGACTTGTGTCATCCCAATCATTATCTAAATATGGCCACATGTCCAATTTCATTGACCAAATGTGGCCACAATCGGTCAATGTCACAGGCATCCCCACCCCTTTGTTACGTGCAAGGAATTCCACAGCTGATTGGACCGGCATGCTATCATGTGACAGCTTCTCATGGGTTCAAGCTGTTCCTTAGCTCAGCACAGTTGGCCTGGAGAAGAGATACTCCCCCATTCAGATGTCAATCACAGAAGGACCTGCAGTGAGTGACCGATGCTGTCTGCTCCTTGATAGGATTTTTTAAGAGTCACCTAGTTACAAAAATTGCAGATAAAAGCACAGAAAAATCAAGTATTTTAAAGCCTAAGCAAGTACAGTCAAAATAAAATAAACAAAACAAAACACACACAAACATCAGCACAAAGGTCTTAACTTTTATTCAGTAGGATATGTCCTTCGTGCCAATGCCTCTTCTGTTAGGTGGAATCCTCCTCTATTGTCCCCCCCCACCACCCCTGGCACTATAATCTTCTGGTGCGGAAGGGGTTAATAGAACTAAGTGGCTGTCACAAGTCTCATCAAGAGTGCCTGGCTCTGCCCGCCTTTTCCGTCCAGCTCCTCCATTCATAGAAAGCTGGTACTACAGCTTCTATGAATTAAACGTGATCTGTTAAGGGGGAGGAGGCTGACCTTTCAATCATCCCTCCATTCATAGTTTGTCTTTTCATTCATAGTAGGTGTAGTATGACTTCTATGATTGTGGGGGTGCAGGAGCATCAATGGAGGAGGATGTCACCTAACAGAAGAGGCAACAGCAGAAGGGACACATCCTACTGACTGTAAGTTATGCCTTGTGCTGATTTTTTTTTTTTTTTTTAAATTATTATTATTTTGACTGCACTAAGGCTTTAAAGACTCAGTCCACCTTTGAGACCGTGTTTGATGTTACATTCATATTTAGGGTGCTTCTCCCGAGAGCATCCGGTTGATTTTTTAAATTGGCACATTTGTGAATGGTTCCTTCCACACAGCCATGTCATCCATTTACAGGAATACGTGAATAAAAAGACCCATCTGCCACTGCAACAGAAGAAGCGATTCCCAGATCTCTATGGTACACAAGGGTGGTGAGGTTATGACACTTGTACTCCATTGAGTTCTTTCTACAGCTCCATAGTGGAAGGTCCTTGAGATGAACTGGTCACGGCTGCAATGCTCTGCAAGTTTCACATCAAAACTTAAGTAAATGCACATTTTTCATGACAACAGGCAATATGCGTAGGAGAGGAGTGTGGAGGGTCTGACAAGAGGCAATACATGTAGGAGAGGTGTGTAGAGGGTATGATGGGGGGCAGTATGTGAAGAGGGGGTGTATGTGGAGGAGGGAAATGTGGAGGGTATGGCAGCAAGCAATTTGTGCAGAAGAGGGGTTCAAGTGGTAAAGGGGGGAAGGAATGGGTGTAGGAGGAGTGTGGAGAGTATGACGGGGGTAGTATGTGTAGGAGGAGTGCTGAAGGTGTGAAAAGAGGTAATATGTGCAAGAGAGGAGGGCGGAAGGTATGACAAGGGGCAATATGTGCAGGAGAGGAGTGTGGAGGGTATGACAAGGGGCAATATGTGCAGGAGAGGAGTGTGGAGGGTTTGACAAGGGGCAATATGTGCAGGAGACGAGGGCGGAGGGTATAACAAGGGGCAATATTTGCAGGAGAGCAGGGCGGAGGGTATGACAAGGGGAAATATTTGCAGGAGAGCTGGGCGGAGGGTATGACAAAGGGCAATATGTACAGGAGAGGAGTGCAGAGGGTATGACAAGGGGCAATATGTGCAGGAAAGGAGGGCGGGAGGGTATGACAAGGGGCAATATGTGCAGGAGAGGAGTGTGGAGGGTATGTTAGGGAGCTGTAAGTGGAGGAGAGGAATGTTAATGTCATTGAAAACCCTCACCTTGTAAAACTACCCATTCAATTTAAAATAGAAATGAAAGGCAAAAAAAATGTGTATACTGTAGATATAATGAGAAATGATCACATTAGCTCTGTGCTCAACTGCGTAACAGTTGGGGGTGGAGGAATAATAATACACCGGTCTTCTCAGTTAATGGCAGTGCGGGGGGGGGGGGGGGGTCAGGACGAATCTCATCATTGGAGGAGAGCAGGATGAGTTTCCAGCACAGTTAGAGAACTGAGCTAGAGAGGACATCTTTTTCATGACATGCCCTCTGTTTTCAACTGCATAAGGGCTAGGAGAGGACAAACAGCAGTACACTAGTCTTCCCAGTGAAAGGTTGTGCAGGGAGTGTGTAGGGGGGAGGTGTCAGCAGAAGTCTGATCATTGGAGGAGAGCATACGGAGTTCTAGGCACAGCTAGATAACTGACTACACTGTGCCCTCCTGCCTAGTGTGGTCAGTTTGTAATAGGAAAGCAGAGGGACTGGCAGGAACACCAGGTATTTCACACAAACGAAGCAATACAAAGAGAAAAGCATATTTTTCATACAGGAGTGTGGAGGATATGACAGGGAGCAGAATATGGAGGAGAGGAGTGTGGAGGATATGACAGGGAGCAGAATATGGAGGAGAGGAGTGTGGAGGGTATGACAGGGAGCAGATTATGGAGGAGAGGAGTGTGGAGGATATGACAGAGAGCAGATTATGGAGGAGAGGAGTGTGGAGGGTATGACAGGGAGCAGTACATGGGGGAGAGGAGTGAGGAGGGTATGACAGGGAGCAGTACATGGAGGAGAGGAGTGAGGAGGGTATGACAGGGAGCAGTACATGGGGGAGAGGAGTGAGGAGGGTATGACAGGGAGCAGTATATGGAGGAGAGGAGTGTGGAGGGTATGACAGGGAACAGTATAAGGAGGAGAGGAGTGTGGAGGATATGACAGGGAGCAGTATATGGAGGAGAGGAGTGTGGATGGTATGACAGGGAGCAGTACATGGAGGAGAGGAGTGTGGAGGGTATGACAGGGAGCAGTATATGGAGGAGAGGAGTGAGTGGAGGGTATGACAGGGAGCAGTATATGGAGGAGAGGAGTGTGGAGGGTATGACAGGGAGCAGTATATGGAGGAGAGGAGTGTGGAGGGTATGACAGGGAGCAGCATGGAGGAGAGGAGTGTGGAGGGTATGACAGGGAGCAGTATATGGAGGAGAGGAGTGTGGAGGGTATGACAGGGAGCAGTACATGGAGGAGAGGAGTGTGGAGGGTATGACAGGGAGCAGTACATGGAGGAGAGGAGTGTGGAGGGTATGACAGGGAGCAGTACATGGAGGAGAGGAGTGTGGAGGGTATGACAGGGAGCAGTACATGGAGGAGAGGAGTGTGGAGGGTATGACAGGGAGCAGTACATGGAGGAGAGGAGTGTGGAGGATATGACAGGGAGCAGTACATGGAGGAGAGGAGTGTGGAGGATATGACAGGGAGCAGAGTATGGAGGAGAGGAATGTGGAGGGTATGACAGGGAGCAGTATATGGAAGAGAGGAGTGTGGAGGATATGACAGGGAGCAGAGTATGGAGGAGAGGAGTGTGGAGGGTATGACAGGGAGCAGTATATGGAGGAGAGGAGTGTGGAGGATATGACAGGGAGCAGTACATGGAGGAGAGAGGAGTGTGGAGGGTATGACAGGGAGCAGAGTATGGAGGAGAGGAATGTGGAGGGTATGACAGGGAGCAGTATATGGAGGAGAGGAGTGTGGAGGATATGACAGGGAGCAGTACATGGAGGAGAGGAGTGTGGAGGATATGACAGGGAGCAGTACATGGAGGAGAGGAGTGTGGAGGATATGACAGGGAGCAGAGTA